GAAATTTCTGCCCCTTACTTCTTGTTGGGCGATTAGCTCTCGAACAGTTGTCATTGCTTTATCTTCAGCGCACGGTTGTGGAGTTGTTGCTTACTTGCCAAATATAAACTATTCTTTTTTGCTTGGTTAAACAAACCAGAATATGCGTGTTCTGCCAAGTCTTCTAATTTCCCTTGTGATTAGGATTGCATCCTTGTTGATATAAAGCTCATTTTTTTGCTTTAACAATTACCAGAGTACGTTTTGTGCCACGTTTGGTAATTTCTCCGATGCGTTGATTTGTGTTGTTGATGATTGTTGGTCTGCGCGTACGAGGTTGTGTGTAGCCTCATGCGTTGTATTCTGGGTTGCGTGTAGACTTAGGAAAGATCTGTGTTGTATCCGAGGGATGAGTAACGAGTCAGGATGGATATGCGTTGCATCCAAGGTTGGGTGCGAAATCAATAAGGATATGCGATTCGAATCGATGAATCCTCGCGACCGACAGCGACACGTTATACTTAAACCGAAACTAAACAAACGTTCGGGGTCACCAAAAAATGTTGATAAAACCTAGTGGGATTCAGTTCAAACACATAAATTTGAACTGACACTTATAGTCTTTAAAAGACTCCCTGCAAGCACATAAACTTGAAGGAAAGACGATGTTTAGGAATTAAACACAAATTGGTTCTGGTTGCTTCATGAAAGACAACTGACTAACTCTTTTTATTATTTTCATTCTTTTATACAAATATTTTCTTAGCATAATTCTTCGTGTGTCGTGATGCTCGGCAGAAAGTTTGTGTTCATCACAGTTTTATCCATCTTATTACTCATATCATCCACCATTGTATCGGCTTGTGTATGGGTTTTAGAAAGAAAATTTTAATTTTTGAAACATCATTTACGCTATTAATCTGTTCGCAGAAAAGCTTCCAGTAGTTGCCATCTGCTGTTCTTCCTATTTTGTTGTTGTTGTTGTTGTAGCTGTAGTACGTGCAAGTGTTTGCGTTATGTCCTTCCTGACACGCCTAGGTGGGGGAGATTTATCCACCATATGATGGCTGGGATGACTCTCACGGTAACACCCAAGCAGGTACTGCAACGGAAGCATATGATTATACTGACATAAGGGAGGGACTTTCACCTCCTCATGTAGATGGTCCACTAGTGTCATGAGAAGGCAGTTCTCAGAGCAGCGTTCTGGTAGGTCTAGATGTGCTTCCATTGCGTAACACTAGTATTCGCAGACCACACTTGAGCCACATAGCTGACCACAGACCGACCTATCGCGTTATAAGGGGTCAACAAGGTTTCCTTGTCCGCACCCCACGTGCAGCCTGCTAGTGGCTTGAGGACCTTGTTCCGGACGACTTGACCATGCTTTCGAACGTGACCCCTAGAATCTTGGGGTAGTTCTTGGTCGATACTAGATTCCCCTCGACCTGCACATTCAGTTGTGTTCTCATCTCCGCAGACCATGTGGTACAGAGTGTGGCCGTTGATATCGTGGCGGATATTTTCAGGAAAGGTTGAGGTTAAACAGTTCCGGAGATATCACCCCACCTTGGGGAACTCCCTGTTTCACTCTACGGCCTTTGGACTCTTTGTTCCGGAATTTCACGTACGACTGGCGTCCACATATAGTTGATTATCCAACGTTTCAAACTTGACCGGAGGGTAGTTCTCTGCACGTGCTCAAACAGTTTGGCATGATTCACCATATCAAATACCTTTGATAGGTCAAGGGCTACCAACACTGTACTGTCAAACGGTCTGTTCTGGTTCAGTCCTCTACTAATATGTGTGGCGTGTAATGCTGTTGTGGTACTATGTTGTGAACGGAATCCGTGCTGGTGTTTGGCAACTGTATAGCTTCCCCTAATGATGGGGAGGAGTAAAGTCCCAAGAGTCTTAGCTACTGGCGACAAAAGCGAAATCGGCCTGTACGATTCGCCTTTACTAGCATCCTTGCCTGGCTTCAATAGCGGGAACACCCGTCCCATTTCCCAGGTTTCAGGCACTATGTGGGTGGCTAGCGACAAATTGAGAATTTTCGTTAAGTACTCGACTCCCGGCGTATCCAGCTGTTTCAACATTACCATTGAGATTCCGGCCGGAACCAACGATTTGGATGACTTAGCGTTAAGGATGACATTTGCAAAATCCTCCTCGGCGGGAAGAGATCTGATACGACGTAGTAGTCTTCGCTTCTCCCTGTCGCTCTCGGGGTGCTCGACAATTTGTCGTTTGAAATACTCCGCGCACCTCTTCGGATCAGTCACCGCTACGTCGTTGAAAGTGACTGATCCCTTTTTCTAGGGTTCGAGAGCGATTTAACCGTTACCCACAGCATACTCATATCGTTTACACTGTTGGTCTATCCACTTTTTCCTCTTATGCTCCTGTACTAACTGGTTGAACTCCACTGTCAAATCACTGATTCTAGGATCAGTAGGGTTGGTACGACGGAGATCATCACACTCGTTTCCTAGTCCCGCTGCCTCTGCTTGGAAGTTTGGTCTTATCTCGGGTATTCGACCAGCAGGTATATAGCGAGCGGCTACAGCTTTGATGATGTTTCGGAAAACCCTTTCTGCTACCCGAACATCAGAAGGTTTGGGCAGTTCTCTGAAGCGGCGGTTGGTGAATTCTCTGAACTCTGGCCAGTGGACTTTCCCATGGTTAAGGAAAGTGAGGTTATGAAATGGGGCGACCTGCTTATGGAGACGATTATGGGGAGATGGTCTGAGCCAAGAGAAATGACGCGTTGCCAAGTCACGTCATTTATCAGGCCGGGTGACACTATGGTTAAGTCTTGCGAACTATGACACTCTCCTCTTATTCGGGTGGGGGCATCCTCGTTAACCATGCAGAATGTGGAGCAGTCAATCTGCTCTGCCAGCGCTGATCGCCTCTGGTCATTACCTAGGACGAAATGCCACAACTCATAGTGGGCATTAAAATCACCAAGTACCAGGCGGTTATTGCCTATCAACAATGAGCTAATATTAGGTAAATGTCAGTCAAATAACGCGGTTCACAGCTATTAATAGGCGGGATATATACATTAAGCACCTTGGCAGTTCCACGCTTGACTGCTACCCCTATACATTCCATGTATGGGTCACTAGAGACTAGCTCAAGCGATATAGGTCTGTACTGAACAGAATGGTGTAACAGGAACGCTAATCCCCCACCTCCATCTGGTGCGATCCTTCCTTAGTACGTTGTAATCATAACAACGTTGTAGGCTGCAATTTTCATTCAGCTTGGTTTCCTGCACCGCTGCGATCTTAATATTCCTCCGATTCATAAATTCCACTGTCTCATCTATTTTGCCTTGGAGTACGTTGCAATTGAATTGCAAGAATAATGCACAATCCGGAGTTGGAATATCAACATGTTGCGTTAGATACTGCGGTGTTGGTTGCTGTTCTGGAGACTGCCATGGAGGTCCATACTCCGACGACGTCTCTGATGAGGACGACGAAGATATGGATTAGCTGGGGACTACATTACTGCATGTCGCAACATAATTCCTTTCGATGTAGTCTCGCAAACGCCTTAGTCCGGAACAGTTTTTAAAGTGCACCCATTCTCTACATCCATTACATCGCACCGAAACAGATCTGTGGTGGAGGACGTACTGACAAACCGAGCAGAACCAAGGGGTTTTCCTCAATTCCGGCACGGACAAATAAAATCCGGAGCAAGCATTCCGGGATATGCTTATACCAATGCAGAAAAATAAACAAACACAAACATGTACTTACTGTGTTGGCAGCCACTGGCGGAAACTGGGATCTTATTGTTTCGGGTCAATCCGGTATCGTATTTTTTATGTTAATTATGATAGCTTTCCCAGGATACTGCTAGTTTTTTACGTCGAGCTCTATCCCTTTGTTTCGAGTTTTCCCTGTCATCCACGGTTTTTCTTTAGCAGATTTCCTCTGTAAAAGGTGACAGCATTATTTGAATGACTTTACTGAGGTCTCCGTTAACCTATTGACATCCCTGTCTGTTTCATCTATGCTTATGCGTTCAAAGTTCCTGTACCTAGCCTGTCTTTTACTAGTCTCCCAACTGACTTGTTCCGAAAAGGAGTGTTTATCCGAAACCCTCCAATTCTGAATCTCGTTCATAAGGTTTCCTGAACAAAAAGTAATGTCTAAAACATCCTCCCTAATTTTATTTGCAAAGGTTGCTTTAATCCCAGTGTTAAGAATTATTAGGTCGTTAGTATTTATGCAGTCTAGTAGGAAATGGCCCCGTTTGTTAGTGCTAGTACCCTTACGCAATTTGGTGTGAGTTAGGAGCGCTACCTATAAGTACTTGGACCCCTTTTTGTTTGCCTTGCTCACCAGCTGTTGCAGTTCCGTCGTAGCTTGTAGTGTCGGAGTGTCGAACGGTAGATATACCGAAGCTGCTTCAGTTGCATCCGATGTTGACAAATCTGGAGAGAAAAGACAACATGAATTTTTGTGACATATTATACAAGCTCACGGCTGTCCGTAACTCGTAGTTAATCGAGCGAACCAAGTGCAAACATTAAAAATAATAACTACCAATTAATAGTACAAAGTAAACCCTTGCTTGTCAGTCTGCCTCACCCATGGAAGAAGAATACAGGTAGATGCATCAACGCTTGGGAATATTAATTTGTCAAAAAATTTTAAATGTCTTTTTTATATGTTTTCTTATACGACAACATTCGGAGGTTATTAAAATATGCGTTTTTCAACAATTTTTACAAATTTAAATATTTTTCATTCAACATTTTCAATTAAAAAATTGGGTTGACAGTTCATTGTGCAAGCAGCTGTGTCGATGCTTCTACCTATATTCTTCTATCATGGGTTTAGCCTAAACTAGAATATAGTTGTAGAATATGGAGATCAAAATAAGTAGTTGCCAGATAAATGTGTTAATGTATTGTCCTATTTGTATTATCAATTATTCTTAATGTTCTTTAACTAATTTATAATTTGTTTAATCGGCTAATGTATTTACTGTAGACGGAGTTGGTGGGAGAAGGCCTTCTCGATAGTCTGGGTCTTCTAAAAATGGCGTTGGGAAGAAATAAAGGTATTCTATGAACAGCAAACAGCCATAAACATCAGCAGCTCAACAAATAGACAATTATTCAAAACAACTCTTAATATCGATACCGATGGAGCAAGTAAAATTACGCAGAGTCATAATCTCACAACCCTCACAAGAAATGACCAACTAAAGACAAAAATCTTGAAAACAACAATTGAGGATTGGCTACCACCGTCCTAATAAACTTGGAATCAATGGCCAAACCCATACTCCTAATTTCATCCACAAAAGCCCACACAGATACAAGGGGTAGAAACACGACGAGGTCCATTGAATAAAACAGCATTAGTCTTAATTTAATTAACAGCCAAACCATTTGACCAGTTTTCCAACTGCACTTCTAAAGAAAACATGGCTCGATATTCACACAAATCCTCCATATATACACATTCAAACCTAAAGGAATCACCATCATTGGACCTGAATTACCAGGACATCAACAAATGGGACATAACTACTTGTTTTAGGATTCCAAAAAAAAATTGTAGTTCATATTACTTCCATTGGCATGCGAGACATTCATTTCCAATTCAAAGTTTTGCAGTTGAAATTAAAAATAATTAAAAAATTATAAATCGAATAAGTCAATTTGGGCTCATATAACATTGGTATGTAATATTTAGTCGGATAGGAGGATGGCTGATTTTTAAGTTGTTTGAAGAATGCCATTTTAATTTCAGAGCTTTAAATGTACTCTAGATACTCTTGCTTTTTATCGTCTGCATGATAAAAAAGCAATGGCAAGGTTAAAGAAATAAATTACCAACACATTATATTGTTATGTTGTTTTCATTTTTCACTGGATTTCTTTTTAAACTCTAAAAAATACTGTCATTAAAGAGATTGTCTTGAGCATGCACAAAGGTTCGGCACGGAAGACAACTGCTGTAAATGACATTACCAGACTATTCCAATCTTAAAGACAAAATTAACGAATAAAATTAACGTAAATTGTAACTTATCAAAATTAAGCGGCGGTTGAGACAATTATGCAAAAACGAAAAAAGTATGCCTTTCTTTTTAAAGACATTATTATGAGTATCTGGATTTTATCTATATACAGGGTGAGATGAAAAAAGAGCAACCAACTTCAGACTGCTGTCATTTCTAAGCCATTCGACCAACTGCTGTTAAAATTATTCCATTGATAGTTCATTATATTGTTTACAAGGGTACAAACGAATTTTGGTGAGAATTTTCTAGAAAAAAAGTTATTCGTGATGGAATTTAAGCGGGATAGTGTGATTTCATTATATTTGACAGGAAAACCACAAGTGGCTATCGTTAGAGCACTCCAGCATTTAAATGTGAATAAATCTTTTGTGTCTTGTACCATCGCTCGTTACCGTGATACTGGTAGCGTAGCCCGACGTCAAGGAAGTGGACGGAAGAAAACAGCAACATCAACCGAAATGGTTAGAAAAGTAAAGAAGCGACCTGCCCGCAGTGTCCGCAAAATGGCTCGTGAGCTTAACATATCGCAATATTCCATTCGGTAAATATTGAAAAATGAGATCGGGGTAAAGCCATTGAATTTTCAAAAAGTGCAAGAACTTACACCGCAACGGAAAGAAAATAGACTCAAAAGAGATACAGAGTTGCTTCGCTTGGCCGAAAGTGGTGAACTAACGAATTTGGTTTTCTCCTATGAGGAAACATTCGTTGTCCAGCAGTTTGTGAACAAACAAAATGATCGTATTTACTTGCCAAAGAAGTCAGCTGAAAATGCGCACCTTCGGTTGGCCACCAGAACATGGAGATGGTGTGGGCCGCCATGGTCGATGGTCGCTCTCCGCTTGTATTAATCGACCGTGGAATCAGAATAAATGCCGAATTTTATCGCGAAAATATTCTACAGGTTGTATTAAATCCTTGAGAACGCAAACATTTTGGCCACAGACCTTGGATATTCCAACAGGACTCAGCACCATCACACTCAACAAGCGCCACCCAAGAAAGGTAACAAAATGAGGCTCCTCGCTTTATTTCCATTTTTGATGACTTGTCAAAATTTAGATATACTTCTCTATCTTCTGGAGGAACTCCACGCAGCAGTTTCAAGTGGTTAGCACACCATTTTCGTAGTCTAAATCCAGCTTCCTGTAGTAACATAATAACTTGTTTCTGCATCTCAATTGCCGTTGTTAAACTGTCAGACCCGCACATGCAATCGTCAACGTAGAAATTCTTTTGAAGTACCAGCGCCCCCAATGGATATTTTTGCATGTTTGTATCTGCTAGCCTTTTAGACATCTTGTAGCAAGATATGGGGCACTCGTCGTGCCATATGTTAACGTATTTAACATGTAGTGCTCAAGTTCCTTGTCTGGAGGGTTTCTCCATAGGATTAGCTGATATTTGCGATCTCATTTGTCGACTAGCATTTGTCTATACATCTTCTCAATGTCTGTTGTAAAGACAAATCTCGGCAGTCTAAATCGCAACAGCATGCCAAACAGATCTCCTTGAACCCTGGAACCTGAATGCAAAATATCATTGAATGACCATCCAGATGATGACTTGCAAGACGCATCGAACACAACCCGCAGCTTTGTTGTGCTGCTATTTGGGCGATGATGCGTAGAACTCTGCTCCAAGTAGTACGTCAATCCTGGCCGTTTGATAAAAATAGGGATCTGCTAGCTTTATGTTTTCTGGAATAGGCCATGATGTGATATCGATGTCAGTGCTTGGTTGGGGTGGCACTATATTTGGTAACACGAAAGCTTCCAAGCGCATTCTAAATTTGCTGTTCAGTGACTGAAGCTCCGCGTTGACCCTGTGGTTTGCGGTTCTCGATCTTCCGCCAACACCTACGATACAGATCGATGATTGAATGGGTTCGATATCCAACCTCTGCACTAGTCGCTCTGACACCAGATTAATCTGTGAACCGGAATCCAGAATCGCCTTAAACTCATAGCTTCTTCCATTATTTGCCTTAATCGCAACCCGTGCGGTTGCAAGGAGAACGAATGATTGGGATCTATTCGCCGATGCTACTGTTGGTGGCTGCTGAACTGACAAATCTGCTGATTTGTTCTCTACTTGTGGCCTCGTTAAAAATGCTAAAGTGTATTGTGGTTTTGTGGATGCTTCCTGCACTTCCCACGTGTGCACGTTTTTGCCTGATGGTCATCCTTGAAGCAATTTAGACACATCTTGTGTCTAGCAACCCATTTCTGCCTTTCGGGCACTGTCATTGCCAAGAACTGTTTGCAGTAATATAGGGGGTGGTCACCTTTGCACATGTGACATCTACGGATCGTGGTGGAAGCAGTCGTTGCTGACGGTTTGCTTTTCTGAATCCCATTGACAGCTTCTAATGATTCGAAGCGACTCCTCAAACATTTCATGAAATGCTCCATCGTTTGGAGCTCTTAGGAATCCACAATCGACTGCTCATACAACACATGAGTAGTCTTGTCCATCCTCTTTGTTAGGATGTGGATTAAGAGTGGATCCCATTATTTTGGCTTTATTCCAAGACCCTCCAATGCCAATAACGATTCATAAAGACTGTCATGAAAGTCCTTCACTGATCTGCTATCGCCAGACATGTTGGGTAGGTTTAGCATTCTCTCAAGTATAGCTGACACTTGAGCTCTCTTGTTGTTGTACCTGTCTTGGAGTGTCTTCCAGGCAATGTCGTAATTCGCCTCGGTCAACTCGAGGTGCCTTATGAGTTTCTCGGCATCCCCAGTAACGTTGGCCTTGAGATACCACATTTTTGGACTTGTGGCAAGGCTTGCTCGTTGATCATTTTCCCAAAAATGTCAGCAAACGTCTGCCACTTCGAATAATCCCCATTAAATTGAGGGATTGTAATTTTTGGCAGATTAACTTGATTTGCCAAGTTCCCACCTGGTCTCTGCTGAGACGACGAATGGTCGATATTTTTTCTTTGAACCTTAACGTCTCTTCCTCTAAGAGAACGTATACTGATGCATCGTACCCCACCAACGTTGGGTCGTCAAAGTCCTCGAACATTTTGAAGTGGATATCTTCCACGTGTGTCCACAGTTTTTCAATAGCAGCCACTGTCTGACAGGGTGCAGCTTGGCCTGAACTGCCCCTTATTAAAGTTTGAATGGACTGCATAAGAGCCCTCTGACGTCTCACTAATGCAGCCACACTGCTGGTTGCAGTAAACTGGCTAGTTTGTTTTTGAACCCCCTCCCTTGTTTTGGGAAGCGGTTTCTGAGGCATTTATTCTTTGCCTCTTTTGAAGTCTGCCTCGATGTTGTCGATTGCAGCTCTGTACTCTTGACCAATGACTTGTAATTCATTATTGGTGATATGGAATTGTGACTCTGCCGCAGAATCTGCACGAATTTTGTTTTCATTGCGATCGATCTCTTCCCAGAGTGCTTCCATCTCCTTTAACTTTTTGGCGTAGAACTCCGCTGTCCTTCTTTCCAATTCGGCAATTGCTGCTTGTTGTTGGTCTATTACTGTAGGTAGATCCATACTGTGTCCGCCTTGGCCTGATTAACTATCAGTTGATCCAAATAGTTCTTGATGTAGGAAACGGATTCTTCTCCAGATGTTTCTGGCTCTTGGATGGTGCTACTAGTTGTACGTAACTAGCTCCTATCACAAATAAATATTTCAAATTCCTTAGCACTGGTGAGGTGAAATTCAAAATTTATAAGTGAATTAAGTAATCCTAGTCAAGATCAGGTCGGGGTCACGAAAAAATGTTTATTAATATAAATAAAAGTAGATATACACAACACTTGAATTGTGTAACCTTGGTATGTTTACAATTTCTTGTAATCTACCAAGAATCATTAACTTCGCTTGGTATTTATACATTTTGAATATCAATACGACTAGCATTAAATGCGAAGTAAGCAATAAAATGCTTCAGCCAATAGAACATTCAATTGTGAAACCAGTCGAATTGTTTCTTTATTTGGGCTATTGACTTGCTTAAAATAAACACTGAAAACAAAATTATATTAGGTCAGTTGTATGCTGACATAGCAAAACTATTAAATAACAAAGACTAAAAATAATATGTTTAAAAATTATGTTCTTTTGAACAGCCACCAAAATCTCCGGATACCAATCCGTTGGACTATTGTGTCTGGAGTATTTTTCAAAACAAGGTTGGCACTAAAAAATACCAATGTGTCGATCAACTCAAGCAAGCGCTTCGCGGGTAATAGGCCAAAATACCGCAAAGTAACATTCGGGCAGCGTTTCTTTGGCCTTTTGAACGCCATAATTCGTGCCAAGTTGACCAATTCGAACAAATCTAAACATATTCTAAAATTTGATGCTATTTCCTTCATTTTTTGCTTTCATTCAATAAAATTTAAAAAGAATGTAAAAATTATTGCGTTTGACTTTGTTGCTGTTTTCTCATCTTACCCTGTACATTTATAAAAAATTACTTTTGAAGCAATTTAGTAATTTATCTGCATACATTACGGCAACTAGAAAAATATTTAATACGATCTTGGCACAATATTTACTGAGTTTTAATTTAAATGATTTGTAACATTTTTGTTTGTTCTGCAATTTTAGATGGATGGCTATTGAATCGCTTTTTGACAACATATTTTCATCAAAATCTGATATATGGAGTTTCGGCATCCTTATGTGGGAAATAGTAACGCTAGGATCTACCCCATATCCAGGTTATGCCGCTGCAGAAGTCATGAGAAAGGCAAATGTTAAACATAAAACAAAGTTATTGCAATTACTTATTTCGTGCATTTCATCCCATTCTAGGTTAGAGATGGC